CACATGACTCACAACTGCCTGTAACTCTAGTTTCAGAGGGTCCAGTGCCCTCTTCTGGCTTCTGCAGACACTGCACACACATGGTTCACTTTCATACACGCAGGCAGTCACACACATAAAGTAAAAAATCATAATAAAAATATTAAAAAGAGAGAGAGAACCAGAGGGTACCTTGGCACACTTTTAGAAGTGTGTGTGTTCATGCTCTGTTACAGGGCAGGGGGACTCTAAGGACCAAGGGTTAATATAAGCAGGGGTGGGAACTGAACAAACACTGGACTGTTGCTAAAGAGAGGACTCTTGGGTGCATGATTTAAGAATCATGTTAGGAATCCAGTTAGGAGGAGAAACAGGCTCAAAGGAAAAGATGAGCAATGCATGGTATCGGACTTTAAAGTACACCAAGCATTCTCTTTGCTCAGGTGCATCACAACAGAGCACACCCAACAACATGGACAATGGTCACTGAACCAGAACTGAGGTTCAGCCTGTCCACCTCTTACCATCCAACACTTGTTCTTCAGTTATCTCATCAACCCGGGCTGGACACCTGGTGGAGAAACCCTTTGATGTACAGCTGCAGGCCCCCTACAACAGATGGACAGAAATGATTGACAGGATACACATCATTTCAATGATAGCATCTTCCTGGTGCCAGTTGCTGTCACCACTGCTCTGTTTGTCTCTCATCACCAACCGGGGCCAACATTTTTTTCTTCCCTGTTTAATCTATTAATTCATCTGAGCATTTGGAGGGTGTAGCTGCTTGATTTTTATCCCAGAGGGAATATGAGTCAGAGAGACAGAGACAGAGACAGAGACAGAGACAGAGCAGCAGAACCTGCAAGCATCCTTTTGGCTTGGCATAAATAATGTAGCAGCTAGAGAGACACTGTGCTCCCCTCCTGACCCCTGTGAGCACCAGGCTGTGATTTTACCCTGGAGTGTAAAAGACACTACAGCAGAACCTTGCAGCAATCTGAATATGAGGAACACCTGTTCTTGAGGCGCCCAGGCAGCGTCCACAACACTTTATCTCATTTGTCTCCACTACATCCCTTCGGGACAGAAGCCAGCACCATCAGTTTCATTTTAGTAAAGAATAAAAACCACCACCTCAGGATGACACAGTAGAGGTGCCAGTCCCTCCGGCTCCAAGGGCATGCTCAGTGGCCTCTCATGGTCTCCCCTCACACCCACATCCTTTTAGGTTAGAGTTCCCAAGGATGTCTTTCCTTAGATTTCATTCACTGCTGGAATCCAGGCTTAATTAAGGGACATTAATGTTGGGAGAGATACTTAAACAAAGCAGTCTAACCTCTAAGTCAAGGAGCTCCGTGGTACACCATGCTACATGTGTAGTTTGAGACACTGATCTGTAGCACTTTCAGGTTATTTAAAAGTAGTTGTATCTGGGTGTGTACTTGGGGGCATCTCTTGTAGGGTAAATTAGTGCACAATTACTGAAATCGGCAAATGGTCCCAGAGGCAAGCTGATTCTCATGGCTAAGGGCCCAGTGGGTAGAAATATCTAGAATGGCAGCCCCACACTGCCTGTCCCTTCTCACCCACGTTGGGCGTCTTCCCTGGGCAGACTCGTACCTCACAGCCACCTCTTTGGCTCTGGATGCTTTTCATCTTGCGAACCAAGGTCAAGTAGAAGCCTGTGCCAAAGCAGTTCTTGAGGAACAGTGGTGTTCCAGAGCAGTAGAGCCTTCCCTGGGAAATGATGGCGATTCGATCGCCAAGGAGATCAGCCTCATCCATGTGGTGAGTGGACATGATGATGGTTCTGCCTGTGAGGGAGAGGTCAGGGATGTTCCCAGACAAGCCCTGGAGAGGTTGCACAGCAACCTCTGGGTGATGTGGCTCCCAGAACTTGGAGTGAATGAACACAAACCAAAAAGATAATTCTGCAGCAAGCACAGTGGTATTATAACAACCAATACATCCTAGCATCCTGCATACTGTAAAGCTGTCACACATAGTGTCTCAGCATTGAGCCTCAGGTATGCGTCAAATAAGTTTACAGGTGTGGGACACACTCATCACTGTTGTCACTGTCAGCATCTATGGGCTTCCATGTGTTGTCTTCACATTGTTAAACACCACTCTTGTATTTTGTAAAGACCACACACAGCACTCTCTCATTAAATGGGAACTGTTATTAAAGAGGGGGAAATGAGGATTTTAGCCAGAAAACCTTCAGTGTGTGTGTGTGGGGGGGGGGCAGGGTGAGGAGTACAGTAAGAATAGAGGAGGGGGTTTTCCAGGCTGCACAGGATGAACCACATTGTGGCTTGTGCAGGCTCTCTGAACTCTGCCTGATGTGGCTTCTCAATGTGAATCTGGAAGGTGCTGGGATAGATGGTTAAAGAGCCCATCTTAAACATTTCCATCTGCCACAGTCTTCTGTGCTTCCAGACATCCCGACACCTGTTCTTAACACTTAGTCTCAGGTAGTCATGCAACAGCTAGGCATCTTCTTCAGATGCCTTTAGGTCCCTTTAGCCAGAGGGTAATTCTACTTTTCCAGATCCAGACATCCCGACACCTGTTCTTAACACTTAGTCTCAGGTAGTCATGCAGCAGCTAGGCATCTTCTTCGGATGCCTTTAGGTCCCTTTAGCCAGAGGGTAATTCTACTTTTCCAGACTGGAGGACTAAAGGTAGAAATAACTTCTTGTTTTGTTGAAACAGGGCTTCATGTAGCCCAGGCTTGCCTTGAACACGCCATATAGCTGAGACAGATCTTGAATTTCTGATCTTCCTGCCTCTACCTCCTGAGTACTGGGATTATATACATGTACTACCAGGCCTAGTTTGTGTGGTGCTAGGGTTGAACTTGTGACTCTGTGCATGCTGTGGAAACACTACCAAATGAACTTTCTAGAATAGTTCAGCAAGTAGGCCACTTCATCAGTAGCCCTCTGCTTACATTCATGTAAAAGTCTCAGGAGGCTGACACTTGAACTTGGACTCACTGACAGTCTCAAGTGAGTGCAGTTATGGCTATTAGTATATGTAGCTATAAAATACTAGATGTGAGAAAATGGGATTCCTGGAAGAACCTCGATGTGAGCTTGGGGTACTGAGCTACGGCCCTCACCTGAGCGATACTTCAGGAGCAGGTCCCAGATGGAGCGCCTGGAGTAGGGATCCACCCCAGAGGTGGGTTCATCCAGGACCACCACTTTGGAATCTCCCACAAAAGCAATGGCAACAGACAGCTTCCTCTGCATGCCTCCTGGAGGTGGAAGGAAGACGATGCTTGTATATCATAGATACCTTGGCATGGGAAAGAGAAAAGCCTGGGGCTGGTGGCTTATGGCGACTCTTTAAATATGACAATCTGATACTGCCACCTTAGATATGCCTGCACTGTCCACAACCATAGTGGCATTCAGGCTTCATCAATGCAGAAAAGCCACCCTTGCGTCCCAGTACCTGGTCATTTGAAGGCTGTACCTTTAACTTTGCAAGAGTATTAGGAGCTCTCCCCCCATTACAAGGTCCTACCTCAGTGATCCTCAACCTTCCCAATGCTGCAACCCTTTAATACAGTTCCTCATGTTGTGGTGACCCCCTAACCATAAAATTATTTCATTGCTACTTCAGAACTGTAATTTTGCTACTGTTATGAATCATAATGTAAATATATGATATGCAACTTTTGCAGGGGTTATAACCCATAGGTTGAGAACCACAGCCCTACCCAACCCTCTGCTGAGTTGCACTGGGAGACAATGGATGCTCCCTGTTGCCTTCAGTGCCAAGCACCTGAAAGGTCCTGAGCTTCCTCATTTCTCTTGTGGTGGAGGCCAGTGTCTTCTAACATGGCTTCCATCTCCAGCTGGGCCTCCTCCCAGGACTTCCCTTTCAGCTGGGCATAGAACAGGATATGCTCAGCCACGGTGAGACTGTGGGGACACAATGAAGAGAAAAGCGATGGGCTTAGCAATTCCATTTCTAGCAATTCATCTTAGAAAATAAATATGAAGCCAGGCAGTGGTGGTGCATGCCTTTAATCCCAGCACTTGGGAGACAGTGGCAGGAGGATCTACCAGTTCAAGGCCAGCCCTGTCTCAAAAGAAAGAAAATAAAGATGACTATGACGACACAATTTTCATCATGGTATTATTTAGATACAAAAGTGAAACAACCAACCAATCTTGCCCAAATATCTAAAGAGAGAATTACTTAAAAGTTCATTTGTAGATTGGGACAGTATGTAAACACAAGAAATTCCTTTTAATTACATGAAAAGATATTCATAACACCATAGGCTTAAAAAGGCAATTACAGGGCTGGAGAGATGACTCAGTGGTTAAGAGCACTGATTGCTCTTACAGAGGACCTGGGTTTGAGTCCCAGTGCCTACAAGGTGGCTCACAAACTGTAATTCCAGTTCCAGCATACCTCTTCTCAGTCATGAGGCACACATATAGTGCACTGATTATACACTCTGGCAAAACACCCATACACGTAATAAAATAATAAAAAAGCAAAAGTCAGGTTACAAAATTGTATATATAAGTTTGCTCCCCTCTATAATTTTTAGGTCTCCATACATTTCTACACACGCAGAGAAATCTCTAAAGAATTCATTTAGAGGTGTTGACAGCAGCTGCCTCTGGGTGGTAAAATGACTAGTGATAGTTTTGTTGTTGTTGCTTCCTTTTTGGGGGGGAGAGGGTTTCAAGACAGGGTTTCTCTGTGTAGCTTTGGAGGCTGTCCTGGCACTAACTCTGTAGACCAGGCTGGCCTCGAGTTCACAGAAATCTGCCTGCCTCTGCCTCCCAAGTGCTGGGATTAAAGGTATGAGCCACCAAGACATGGCTGTTTTTTCCTTTGTATTTAGTTGTCTTTTCTCCTTCACTCCACTCCTTCCTTCCACAATGACTAGAGTCAGGACATAAAATTTGTTTCAACTGGAAATAAAGAGTTGGGAAAGAGAGAGATAAAGAGGAGGGAGGGAGGGATTGAAAGGAGAAGAAAGAGAGAGATGAAGAAGAAAGGGAGAAAAGAAAGAAAACTCAAGCAAGCCAGCATGAAGTGCCCTCTGAAAGGGCTGTCCTTAGCACAGGGCTCAGCATGGAGAAGGAACTAAGGCTCTCCTCTTTCTGGTCATCTCCCCAACTATTTCAGTGCAAGCAAGGGGCAGGGGAGTGTCAAACTTCCCTGGCTGGGGACATGCAGCTCTGAGCACCAGGTGCACAACCTCACATTTGGAGGGACAATTCTGTAGGACAAGGGCTTTGAAGGTGGGGATCAGGCGAAAGCATTGGACTGGAGAAGACGTGGGGGGGGGGCAGGCGAGGACAGGATACAGGTGGCTTAGGGTTACTATTGCTGTGATGAAACACCATGACCAAAGTAATTGAGGGAGGAAAGGGTTTATTTGGTTTACACTTCCATGTCACTGTTCATCATCAAGGAAGTCAGGTCAGGAACTCAAGCAGGCTAGGAACCTGGAAGCAGGAGCTAGTGAAGAGGCCATGGAGGAAGGCTGTTTGTAGAACCCAGGACCACAAGCCCAAGGATGGCACCGCCCAAAATGGGCTGGTCCCTCTAACATGAATCGCTAACTAAGAAAATGCCCTACAGATTTGCCTAAGCCCCACCTTATTGAGTCATTTTCTCAACTGAGGCTCCCTCCCTTCTCTCCAGTGACTCTAGCTTGTGTCAAGTTGACATAAAACTGGCCAGCATGGGAGGGGTTGTTTCTAGTAGACATTCTGTCTTCCCATGGTGCTGGGGATGGAACCCAGGGATGATGGACATGCCAAGTACTCTACCTCAGAGCCCACCCCTGCCAGCAGTACCTCAACTCCAGTTCACTTACTGGTGGAACAGGATGTTGTGCTGGGGACACATGCCCAAACTCTGACGTACTGCATCCAGGCTCGTTTCAATGTCTTTCCCCCCAACCCAGTTCACTTACTGGTGGAACAGGATGTTGTGCTGGGGACACATGCCCAGACTCTGGCGTACTGCATCCAGGCTCGTTTCAATGTCTTTCCCCGCAATGAGCACAGTCCCAGATGTTGGTGGTAACAGACCTGTCAGGATGGACCTGCCAAACACAGGGTTAAGTGGGAGAAGAGAAGGTCTTCAGGACTCACCAGGGAAGGAATCCAACCCCAACTCCATCCCAGGGTCAGAAGGATGCTTGTACCAATTTCTGCCTCAGCTCTTTCAAACTCAAACCTACATCAGCTGAGGGGCCAGAAATTTTCCACACAGGGCTTAGCACCAGTGCCTACATTCAAGTCCTAGTGCCTAGGACCACAAGGGCCTTCTTTCTCTGCTTTTTATTTCCTAGTGCTTTCAGATCAGTATCAAAAGCCTCAGGGATTCACAGCCTCAGATACTCCACCACTCTGGTGGTCAGTTGTAGTGCCCACTGGGATGGTTAGTCATGATGTGTACTGGGTTGATCAGCCACACTGGTCACTGCTATGGTCAGTCACGTGGGCAGTTGTAGTGTCCATTATGAAGGTCTGTCATAGTAGTCACTGTAGAGTTCACTGCTGTGGTCAGTCGTGTGGCCACTGTTGTGGTCAGCTATAGTGGTCACTGTCTTGTTTACTGTGGTGGTCAGTTGTAGTGCCCACTGTGTCCATAGTGGTCATTTGGTGGCTACTGATGTTGTTAGCCCTTGTGATCACTATCGTGGTCACTGTCGTGGTCAGTTAAAGGGGTTGAGAGCACAGCCCACTGCTTTGCCTGGGTAAGCAGCCTTGACTGTGGAGAAACTGGTTGTTGACTTTGCAAAGACCCTGATGATGGTGAGAAGCTGAGCCCACATTCAGTGTGTGTCTGCTGGTTGACTGACTGCAGTCAGGAATAGGAATTACCACTAACAATTTCAATTTGGGATCCCAAACATAAAAAGCCCATAACTGTGTTGTGATGTTTTCTCCCTTTCTTTAAAAAAACAAGACATATTGACCCTTACCTGCTTAGGTGAGTCAATACCTACTTTAGAACGGCACCAGTGTGAAGTGAAACTTTAAAATGTTATGTGATTCCCAGTGTTAGGCAGTGTTGTGTTTCAACCCCAGGGGAAGTTGACTTTCTGCAGTAATGTGTTTGTCTTCAAGAGGTCCTGGGGTCGTGGATGGAGCTTCCTATTCTCTGACCATGAGAGTTAGCCAGGAGATAGACCTAGACTGCCTCACCCAGCTCTCTCTGTCTTGGGTTCTGATAAAATCGCAGACTCTCTGAACCTGCATTTAGAAGCTGAAATCTTTGTTGATCAACCACTAGAGGGAAACAGTACCAAGCACAATGGCACCAGCCCCGCATTCCATTCACACTGAAAGGCCCAAGAGCACATTCCAGGGCAGGGTGTTCACCGCTGTTCCTTCCCGGGGCTCTGTAAGCCAAGGATTTGATGGCTGCTGTCACGTGGCTTGTGACCCCCACCCCTCCTCCACCCACCCAGCGAG